GACCGTGCCGGGTAGAGTCGCGGTTGGGACGCTGTCCCCGCCGCGGCGGCCGTTCCTTGCCCGGACTTCTCCGACGCCTGGACAGGCTGTGAACTTGACCCAGGGGCTTGGCTGTTAGGGGGGAACCCCCCAGGAAACGTATTCTGGCGCGCCCCTGAAACTCTAAATCAGGGTGAACTTTGTTCTTTTGGTTTCCTTGGGGAAAAGGGACTGGCGACCGACTCGGTGCTCGTCCCTACTGCCTCTTGTTTTCCCCTGTCAGCTCTGCACACGCGGTTGCAGTTTTCCCTTTTCTCCGGGACTGTTAAAATGTAATCTGGAACATCAGCTTTGCTTCATTGCACATGGAGTTGAGGTTCAGGCTTATTAGCATACATGTTGTATTGATATTTAAAGCGTATGTAATTAGGAGATACTGTCCGAAACGTGAGTTTTGAAGCTTTCAGTAGAACCCAAGTTAGTCTTTTATCGAGTGATCTTGGAGGGACATTTAGTGACTGTTTACCCCTTACCCCCCAAATTACTTATCTCCAATGGTATTGCCTTGGCTTACATTTTTGTCCAAGTTCTGGGCTTAGCTTTGGTTGGAAAGTTTTTTTTTTTTTTTCTTGTAGGGAACAAGAAAAAGGAAAAAATGTCTTCATTAAGTCATGCAGCAGCAACTTTCCAGTTCTCTTATTTGAAGTTGTGTTTTTAGAAATTTTTAAACTATTTATTTTGTTTGTTTGTTTTGATTTGACCAGAGAGGGACAGAGAGAGAGTGGGAAAGAGAGAAAAAGAAATCAACAAATAAACGCCAGGGCCAGGTCAGACTCAAACTAGTGTGGGCCATGTGGGAGTCCGGAGCCCTTACCCATCACGCCACCTGCTGGCCCCTCTTACTTGAAATTTTGGAGCTTTAACTCAAGCGTTGGTTTCCTTTCCATTAGTTTTAAAAGAACCTCTTGTGTGTGGCTGCAAAGTATTGATTATCATCCTTCTCATTGTACCAGTTTTTTTTTTTTAATTTTATTAACTTTACTTATTTATTTATTATTAGTAGTATTTAATTTGACCAGAGAGAGAGAGAGAGAGGGGTAGAGAGAAAGTGAGAAAGCAAGCCACCAGATCTGGGACTCTAACCTCAGTTGGCCATGGCCTTTAACCATCATGCTACCTGCTGTCCCCCATCACTATGAATTTTTAAGAACAATTTGCAGAAAAATTTTTTTTTGCATATACTGAAGACGGCTAAACCTCCCATTTGAGTGATAATATTTGATCTACTTTGTCTTAAATTTCTCATAGTTGTCACACTTTTTCTATATGAAAGGGAAAGCCTTATTTAGTGTTACATAAGAGTGATTACCCGATTTCTTCCATCTGTTAAGTGAAAATTCAGCTTTGTTCTGATTGTTAGAAGTTGAATTCCTTCTGTAGATTCTTTGAAGAAACTTGTCGTTCAAACTATTAGCCCAGTAGTTTAAATATCAGTTCTGTTATTAGTATCAGTGTTCTTAATATCATAAGCCTACACCACTGGCTTTAGAAAGTTAAATAAAAGCATTACACAGGTTTAGACTATTAGCTCATGCTGTTCTTAATTAGTGCCTAACCTAATGGTACTTGTATAGTAGGTGCTATGTAAATATTTGTCGAATTAATTATTATTCACTGAATGATGAAACTTTTTTACTCGCTGGAATTTGATTCCATAAAGCATCCAAAATTGGCCTTAAGATACTGTTTGTAGTGGTTACATCACCGAACTCCCACTTGGTCAACCACAGTTTGAGTCTCAGACCTGGCAGCTTGAAATTCGGGCCAGGCTCATGTACCTGTGTGCCCAAAGATCCCAGAGGAAGATGGAAGAGAAGAGATTGCAGCGTGGCCACTCCCCCCAGGGGGTTGATTTCTCTGTCTCTTTCTCTCTCTCTCTCCAGCAAGCATATGTGTCCTATAGCAAAAATCGCTCGCTCTCTAAAAAAAAAAAAAGGTACTCTTTGTAGGTATTTCCAGAGAAGTCAAATTATAAATAGCTAAATAGCAACAGTAGTCTCATACATGTTATTCATAAACTGTACGTATTGCTACCACATCTTAATTATAGATATTTGTATTTAGACATATCAGATAATAAAACAGTAAAGAGCAGCAGTTTTTTTTTTCTCCCAATATTGTTTTCTTTAAAAAAATTAATCTTTTAAAATTAAGGTGCTGGGGGGCCAGCAGGTGGCCTGGTGGCTAAGGTTACTGACTCTCACATGGCAGACCACAGTTTGAAGTTTGAGTCCCAGATCTGGTGGCTTGCTTTCTCTCTCTCTCTTGTTCTGTTCTTCTCTGGTCAAATTAAAGTAAATAAAGTTAAGTAAAATAATTCTTAAAAAAAAAATACTAAAATGTTGGGGTCAGCAGGTGGCGTAGTGGTGAAGTGAAGGCCCTGGATTCCCACATGGCCGACTGCCATTCGAGTCTTGGTGGCTTGCTTTCTTTCTCTCTCTTTGGTGAGTGCATAGCAAAAATCTCTCAAGAAAATAAAAATAAAA